GGTTCCATGAGGACGTTGGCCATGACACCAATGGTTGCTATAGCCTCAGGCGGCTATTGGACAGTGTGGATGATGAAGGGGTCTTGGACTCCTATCTGGTGAAGACCAAGGGCAACCCAAATCAAGTGGGGGCCAGCCGTCTAAGAAGCCTGCTGCTAGCTCTGAAACGGATGAAGAACATATCTTCACTATTGCAGGCGGCTTTGCAAGCGGAGGTCCCACTATCCCGGGTGCCAAGGATAACATCCGAAAACTGTCCAGCCTAGAAGATGAGGGCCAAGCGCCGAAAGACACCTTCCCCGATGTCTTTATCTTTGAGAAAGATAGGGGCATGGTCAGGCGGCCTCACGATGACCCCCTAGTCATCGAATGCAAAGTTGCCAATCGGTAAAGGGGAAGGGCGACACATGGTCGTCAAGTTTTTGGTGGTCGGGGAATTGATCGCCTACAACCTTATTCTGGGCCGCCCCACCCTCAACGAGTCCAAGGCTTTCATCATCCCGTCCCTTATGATGATCAAGTTTCAGAGGGATTATGGATTAGTTGGTGCCCTAAGCGGGGATCAGAAGACGGCTAGGGAGTGTTACCTCTCGGACGTTCGGCCGACTGTAACAGCAGCCGGTCAAAACGTGGAGCCTGTTGACCTCGAAGAAATGCATGCCCCCAAGGCAGTCGGCACGAAGCGAAAGGCGTACTAGTTGGCCCCCACCAGCAAAATAAAATAGCAATCACTAGTCGGGGAAAGGCCGGATGAATCCCGACCCCAGCCGACTGGTGAGAGCATTGATGTCGTCCTGGACGACAGCCGCCCTGACAGAACAGTCAAAGTTGGGACGGTTGCTCATGAAAAGTTGGGGGTAAACTTGCTCCAACTTCTGCGAGAATTCAAAGACATCTTTGCCTTTGAAGTGGAAGAGATGCCAAGCGTCAGCCCGGATCTAGCTGTCCACAAGTTAGCTGTTGATCCCAAAATAAAGCCGATTTGTAAAAAGAAGATGGATCATGGAGAGGAAAGGTCTCAGGCGATAGCCGCTGAGGTAAAAAAACTTCTGGATGCCGGGTTCATTCGGCAATGCTACTACCCGGATTGGGTAGCAAATGTTGTCCTTGTCAAAAAGCCGAATGGTACCCGGCGGATGTGTGTAGATTACATAGATCTGAACAAGGCATGCCCAAAGGACAGTTATCCCCTTCCAAAGATCGACAGTCTGGTCGACTCTATAGCCGGCCATGCCTTAATGAGTTTTATGGATGCCTACTCAGGTTTCCACCAGATTCCCCTATGGAAGAAGGATCAGGAAAAGACGGCCTTCGTCAAAGATCAGGGGTTGTATTGTTACACGGTGATGTCGTTTGTCTTGAAAAATGCGCCTGCTACCTTCCAACGAATGATAAACATGGTTTTCTTAAATCAAATCGGAAGGAATGTAGAGGCGTACATTGATGACATGATAGTCAAATCCAAGCAACAGGCGAGTCACATAGCCGACCTCCGAGAAACCTTCACCACCCTCAGGCGGCATAAGGTCATGCATAATCCCGAAAAGTGTGTCTTTGGTGTTGAGTCTGGGAAGTTTCTCAGATTTCTGATTGATCAAAGAGGCATAGAGGCCAATCCGGATAAGGTGCAGGCGGTGATTGACATGCAGTCACCTCGCACTGTCAAGGTGGCCCAGAAGCTAACCGGTTGCCTGGCGGCACTAGGAAGATTCCTCAGCCGTTCAGGTGACAAGTGCCTATACTTCTTCCAAGCAATCAGGAAGAGGTCTAGATTTGAGTGGGGAGAAGAGGCTGAGGCGACATTTCAGAGGTTAAAGCAACACTTGCATTCTTTGCCAAGGCTAGTGAGCCCCCTGCCTAAGGAGGTTCTCTACATGTACCTAGCCGTCTTAGATCATTCCCTTAGTGCCGTCCTCCTTGCCGAGAGAGACGGCAAGCAGCTCCCGGTGTATTTCATCAGCCATATGCTCAGGAATGTTGAACTCCGGTACCCAATGACTGAAAAATTTGGGCTGGCTCTTTACAAAGCAGTCAAGCGGCTAAAGGCATACTTCCTAGCCCATCCGGTGACTGTTTATACTAATCAGCCACTCAAGCGTCCAATGACTTCCATTGAGTCATCCGGTAGAATGATCAAATGGGCTGTTGAAATGCAAAGCTTGGAGATAACTTTTGAACCTAGGCGGGCAGTGAAAGGTCAGGCGTTTGCCGACTTCATTGTTGAAATGACTAGGCCGGCACAGCCGGAGAATTCCGATCAGGTTTGGAAGTTATTCGTAGACGAAAACTCTACCTCAAACGGCTGTGGTGCAGGCGTAATTTACAAATCTCCGGAAGGAGATACTTATGAATATGCACTACGGTTCAAATTTCAAGCTTCAAACAATGAAGCTGAGTATGAAGCCCTGCCATCCGGAATACGCATGTGTAGGGCGGCAGGGGCAAGAAAAGTTGACGCCTGTTCTGATTCCCAATTGATTGTTAGCCAATTCAATGGTGACTACGAGGCCACCCATCCGACAATGATCAAATACCTTCAGGAGGTCAAAGATGAGGCAGGGACACTTGATGAATTCCATCTGAGTCAAGTGCCCTGGTCAGAAAATAATCAGGCGGATGCTCTATCCAAATTGGCCTCATCCGCCACTTGTGATGCGCCTAGGTCAGTCTTCTGGGAGGTCATGGAAAAAAGAAGTATTGAGCATGACCCCATTATAATTCTCGACCGAAGCTCTACCTGGATAGACCCTATTCGGGATTTTTTGGTAAACGGCACCTTGTCGGATGTCTCTTTAGAGGCGGTAGCACTTAAAAAACAAGCTCTGAGCTATGAAATGTTAAGGGAGCACTCTTCAAAAAGGGTTATCTCCAGCCGTTACTAAAGTGTGTTACCCTAGAAAGGGAAAAAGAAGTGCTAGAGGATCTGCATGCGGGCTTTTGTGCTTCACATATAGGCGGCAGGTCTCTTGCAAAGAGGGCCAGGTGGCATGGTTACTTTTGGCCCACCCTTGAGGCCGAGGCAGTCAAAGGCATCAAGACAAAGGATGTCATCTCCTTCATTTGGAGGAACATCATCACCCGGTTTGGGGTACCTATGTCTATGGTGTTTGACAACAGTCCTCAATTTGAAACACCTACCCTCAAAAATTGGTTGGGAGATCAGGGGATCTCACATTGTTTTGCATCTGTTGGCCGACCCCAAGCAAACGACAAAGTTGAAGCCTTCAACATGCTCATCTCAGACGGCATAAAAAAGAATATTGAAAGAGCCGATGGTCTTTGGGCGGATGAGTTACCTCACGTCCTATGGGCCATCAGAACAACTGAAAAGGGGGCAACCGGTGAAACCCCGTTTCTCATGACATACGGCACTGAAGCCGTCTTGCCAATTGAGCTTTATTAGCCAACACTCCGAGTCATGCTCTATGACGAAGAGGCTAATTGGAGGCCATGCGTCATGCATTGGACTCTCTCCCGGAGCGTAGGGGCAATGCTGCCTTGCGTCATGAGATATACCGTCTAAGAATGACGAGGGCTTACAACAGAAGGATACACAAGCGGCCCCTCAAAGTGGGGGACTTTGTGCTACGAAAAATGGAGTCAACCGGTAGGGCAAATGAACAAGGAAAGCTAACCCTAAATTGGGAGGGCCCCTACCGGATTTTTGAAGATGTTAGAGACAGCACCTGCCGCCTAGAAACCCTAGACGGCAGGCCTTTAGCCAAAACTTGGAATTTTGACAACTTGAAAAAGTAATACTTCTAAGGAAATTGTAATTATTTTTTGTAAATAGACTAAATGAACAAAGGATACTTTATTTCAATTTTTTGTTTAAAGTCTCGTGTGCAATGCACACCCGGGCACCTTTTAAAGTCCCGTGTGCAATGCACACCCGGGCACCTTTTAAAGTCCCGTGTGCAATGCACACCCGGGCACCTTTTAAAGTCCCTTGTGCAATGCACACCTGGGCACCTTTTAAAGTCCCGTGTGCAATGCACACCCGGGCACCTTTTAAAGACCCGTGTGCAATGCACACCCGGGCACCTTTTAAAGTCCTGTGTGCAATGCACACCCGGGCACCTTTTAAAGTCCCATGTGAAAATACACACCCGAGCACCTTTTTAAAATAAAAAAATAAATAAATAACCCGTGTGCAATGCACATCCGGGCATCCTAAGTACCTAACTTAGTTGAATAAGGGCACAAAGCCAATATATCTTAAACCGTCTGCTTTAAATACAAAACATTTGGGTGAATTCGTTGAAGAGAACATCTCCCTTCCGGGTGGCACATTATTCTATGCGTCATATCCTCAAATGGCTTTAACCGCTTAGGTTGAAGATAACCCATTTGCGTTTGAATGACCTATCACAAACAAGATAAAACCGGCTATTTCCCCAATGCAATACAAACGGTAACTTAAATCTTGCTAAGCAGCCGGCTTTGCCCAAAAGCACTACAACCGGATCTCACTTTTATCCCGATTTTTACAATCTTCAAAATTATCATTGGCTATTGCCCCAAGGCTATATTGCCGATATAAATGTCTTATATTGCAACCGGCTAGTGCCCTTAGGTAATACAGCCGACAATTGACAACATTGTCTACATTTGTATATATCCGGATACCATTCAAAACGTATACATCCGATACGATTCCAACGAATTAAACTAGCCCACCCTGTTGTATAATGGTCAAAGACCGCCTAATCATTTGTCCGGATGCATATGGACGGCTGGCTGCTTAGAGTTTGTAACTAAGCAAACAACCATCTAGGGGCAAGCAGGGTTCACACATCCGGCATATCGCATGATTTCATGATTCGATGCAAAAAAAAAAAAAAAAAAAAAACCGAGAATTGCAAATATGCAAAGCAAACCGACACAGTCGGCACAAATATATTATATATTTCAAATGTTAACCGGACCTCTGTCCGGGAAAAGTGATACAGAAATTCACGGCTTGCAGGCTGGTTAGAAAAAAGAAAGAAAAAATCCTACTACTGTTGTTGCTGTTGCTGGGTTTGCCGTTGCTGCTGCTCCAGCTGCTGGCCTTGACCAACATTAGGGGCATCTTGGGTCTGGGTTCCATCACCCGGCACCTCACCCTCCGTCTGCTCCTCCCCTAAGCCGGCCCACTCCTCAAACGACGCCGGTTGCTGAAGCCCGAGAACTTGAGCATCAAATACTTCAGTTGCGTATTTGTACCTCAAGTCAAAGAAGGCGTAGTCGGTCTCCGGATGGATCATGGACCACGCCATCTTCATGCGTGCTTCACAGTCACGCTCGTTCTCATTCACCAGCCGGGTCTGCTCAGCCGCCAGCTGGTCCAGAGCGTCTTTCTTGGACTTAACCAAATCATTTTTGGTTTTGTCTAGTTCCCCCTGCAGCCGGGTGACCTCCTCCTTTAACCCAGTCTTCTCCTTCACCGCATCCTTCAGAGCTTGGATGTCGGTTTTGAGTTGGTCGATTTGGAGTTGACGGTCAGCAGCCGTCTTGTTGGCAGTGTCAGCAGCAGTCGTCAGCTGCTGGATGAGTTCCTCCTGTTTCATCTCCCGGGCTTTAGTGTGGATTTCAAGCATTAGGGAGTTGTACTGACATACATCAATTAAATCGGTTGCCCGTTTCTGGGCATCCCTTACCTCCTCTTTCTTCTTCCGCAAGGGGGCTTTTAACCCATCCACCCTTAGCATCGCCTACAAGACCAACCGACAATTGAGTTAGCAAATTGATCTTAAAAACTTCAGCTATCAAATCTAGCACAACATACCCCATCCGGTGAAACAATAGATTGTGCAAAACTATCGCATCCGGCAACTTACCTCAGCCAGCAATGAGGTGATCCGGTCAAGGTTGATCTGGCTAACACCCGGCATAGCCTCCCTCTCGGACCTAGTCAGGGTCCTTATCATTCTTCTGGCATAATTTTGTATGTCCGGCCAGCGAGAAGCAGTATCTGCATCATGAGACATATCGGTTCCCGACCAAGTCGCCTGATTAAGAAGTATGAGACTTGACTCGAAGTAGCCCAAGCGGCCAGGGGGGGTCAAAAGCGAAGTCCATACTTTGGTCATCCGTCTGAGGGGTGCCACCACCCCTAGCCGCATTGGAGCCGAAAGCAATAGCCGGCACCCTGCTAGAAGGAGCAGGCTCCCTAGATCCGGTCTCAGCCAGCTCAGAGCTCAGGCCAAGACTTTGCAGACTTTTGCCCGCAGTAGTGGGCCTCACAGGAGTCGGAGTCTTGCCGGCTGATGGCGGAGTAGGGCCTTCTGAGACCCTGCGCCTTTGTGGAGGCGGTTGAGGAAGCTCCCCACCCGGTCTCACCATCTGGCGGATAGAGCGGGGAACATTCTGGCTTCTCGTCTGTAAAAAACAATCAACGAGTCAAAAACGGTTTTATGACAACCGGTGCTTACCCCACTGGCCCGGGCAGCAAGTTGGGCCCGTTTCTGCTCCAACTAAGCTTTCCTGATCTCGGCGGCTGACTTAGCCGACATCATCTCAGGCGAAGTCATCTCTAAGCCTTCCTCTGCAAAATAACAAGAAAAAGTTAGCATCATTTGCATATCATACAAACGACATAAATTGCCGGTTAAGCAGTAGACCTTTGTTATACAAGGTGCTGAGACCGCAGGCGGAGAGGAATGCCTGGTTCTTGAACCAGTCCGGATGAGGGACCTAGAATAGAGGAACAATGTTTTGTGTCCCATCATTCAAAGGCTTGGTAGTCTTGTTAAACAACCCCGGCTCCATTATGGCGTCCCAAGCCTCAGCCGGTACCCTTGGTAGGGCGCACTTCTTTCCTAGAAGAGTCGGGTTCTTATTATAACGGCGCATCCGGTGATTAACAGCCATTGAAGGGGAAGAGACGTAATAAAATTTTCTCTTCTAGCTTGTCCACTTGGAGGGCTTCTCCCAGCTAGGCGTCACTTCCTGCATCTCGCAGGCGGCAATATAGCAGATAATGTTCACCCAAGAATTGGGTGTAAGCTGCCAGACCCCCAATTCGTAGCCTCTTAAAATGGCTTTAATGCATCTGTGAAGGGGAAACCGGAGGCCGGCTTTGAATGCCACCTCATAGCAGCCGAAGTAGTTATCGGCATGATTCAAGTCATCCTCCCAGACAATTGACCCAACTCCCAGCCGTCCCCTACTGGACGCTTTTTCAGAAAAGCTTCGAGTGTTGCGTTTAATGTCACAACGTCCCGGTCGCTCATGTGCGCCTCTAATGGGTTGTATACTGACGGCCAGCTGTATGCCTCCTCATCTTGTTGAGGGACATCCGGCGTCATTGTGGACTCTGATGATCCAGCCTCTTGGTCGGTTTCTTCACCGCTTGAGCTTCCGGACTCTTCCAAAATCTCATCACTAGGCGTACTTGGAACGCCTGGTTGATCGAAAGGAAGGTCTTCAACCGGTGTACCGGCTGAATCATTCGACTTGTAATCGGGATCAATAGCTGTCCCTCTAATCCGAGCCATTCTGTCCTGCAAAAGAGCAGAGACGGTATCCCCTGTCCTAGATTCAGCCGTATCCGATGAACGGTTGACAACTGCCCTAGGCCAAGCCGTGTGTGTATTGGGAGAGCCCATTATTCTCTAACCTATACAAACGGTAAACTCAAGAGGTTACAAAAAGGGCAAGGATGATACCTTGTATTTATGAAGACAGTTGAAGAAGACTAGTGCAGAAATTCCAAGATGTGGCCTGAAGATGTCACAAGCGGAGGCAACCGTTTGTGTTGAAAACGTGAAGCACATACAAATCAGTCAGGCATTTTGGAAGAAATTCACACAAAGATACCCCAAGCGGGATCAATAAAGCTCAAAGATATTATAAGCGGTATCATGCAGTTTTACCCAAAGATACCCCATGCGGGATCAATAAAGCTCACTCAGAAGTACCCTAGACGGGACACCTACGTCTGAGGCTTCATTGAATGGTTATCAGAAAGATGCCTCAAACGTTACTTATTGAAGGTTGCTTAAAGACCCCCCAGACGGCATGAGAGCCGGCTGAGGGTGTTTGAAGGGCAGGTCATGAATAAACTATGAAGATCATTGTCCCAGCGCCCCCCAGGCGGTATAAGCCCGGCTAAGGGTGCGAAATATCTAAATCTTGAAACATGGCTTGCATATACCCCAGACGGTCCATTACCGTCTGTGGGTCCAGTTTTGAAGAGCTATTATTTGAAGACAGCCTAGACGGTCCAGAACTGTCTGTGGGTCTGATTTTGAAGAACCTTGTTTGAAGACCCCCCAGGCGGCTCCTTGTCGTCTGAGGGTCTATGAAATGAGTTTTTTTATAGGCAGTTGTTTGAAGGAGGTCTAGGCGGAATATTTCCGGTTGAGGGTCTACTGGATGCAAAATGATTAGTCTGAAGATACCCCAGACGGCATGTATCCGTCTATGGGCCCTATGAATGCAAATTCTTGAAAACCATTAATCGCAGATATCACAGGCGGTATATCACCGCCTGTGGTCCTATGGAATGCATTATTAAAAGCCAAGGTTTGAAGGTACCCCTGACGGTCCACAACATTTGTGGGTCTATCATTTGAAAAGCAAGGTTTAAAGATGCCCCATCCGGCATATAACCGACTGTAGGTCTTTTAAGAGCAACTACATGAAAACCAGTGTAAAGGTACACAGGCGGTATTCACCGTCTGTGGGGCTATGATATGCTTTCGGTGTATAGTCCATTGTTTAAGGATACCCCAGATGGTCCACTACCGTCTGAGGGCCTATCTTTGAGGATTATGATTTAAAGATTCCCCACACGGTCTACAACACATGTGGGCCTACCAACTGCAAAGCTTAAAAAAAAAAAAAAAAAAAAAGGGCTTACAGAGTCCCAGTCGGTGTATGACCGTCTGTGGTTCTACTTAAGTTAAGAAAGAGAATCAAGTCAGACGGTACCTGGAAGGATTAAGTGAAGAAGTCTTCAACCGGTAACCGTATGCGTTTCAATGAAGTAGCTGGTTGCACATACTAGCAGCCGGTGTCAGAGCTCTGAAGAAAATTCTGAAAAAATTTGTAAAGTGAAGAGGAGAGAGGGTGTGCGCCTCAATTTATAGGCAAAGACCAGAAGGCGAATTGCCACCTTCTGCCTCAAACCTTTCGAATTTCAAATCCAGGAGAGAGAGGCGGGAAGCAACTCAATCGTCGCCTCCTCATTGCTTGACACCTTTCATAGGTGACACGTGGCTATGCCACGTCACACCTGTGAGGGGCAAATGTTTAGGGTAAAAATACCCTATGCCACGTGGCCCTGTAGAATCGTGACAAGTGGCAGCCCACCAAAGGCCCAACGGATCAAATCGGATGCTGCCACGTGGCATCAAAACCCTAATCAAGGAACATGTCTCCCCCACTATAAATAGAGGAATCCTCCTCATTTATTGGGCATTCAAAAAATTCATACACAAAACCCGAGCAATATTAATTGCGGAATCTCTCTGAATCAGTGAGAAAAACCTATTTACCTTCCGCACATTTACCCATCCGTAAATCATACTAACTTGATCGTCGGAGGCGGAACTCCACCCAACCGGAGTTTCATGGTTTCGCAGGTACAGAAGTCAGGCGAGCATACTCCGTATTGTAACTCTCCCGAGGGACTAAAATCACCCGAAACACGATCCGTCGGAGATCTCGTGTTTTCGGGATTTTGAAATAAGAGCTCTTTAGGAGCAAGCACGCGACAATGGTATAATTCTTGTTCTTAATCTTGTTTGATTAAGTTTAATATGCTTGTTAATTGTTTTAATTAAGGGGCTGGTCTTGGTGGGTTTCCTTCCGCGTAGTGTCGGGTCACTACGAAACCCTACAACGGTATCGAAGCCACGCTCCTTTTAATTTTTTCAATTAATTAAGGTGTTTTAAAGGAATTTATTTTTCTGGTTCGTGTTCTTCTTATTAGTTAGATGTTCGTTTGAATTAATTTTAAAACTCGATTTTATTCTCGATTTGGCAGTCGAACCCAGATTTTGGCTCAAAAATAGTGATTTTTGGGTAGAATCGACATTGTGGAACAGATTAAACTATTTCAGGGCTGTCCAGAAGCCAAATTCAAACCAAAAACCCATTTTTTATGGGGTTTTTCGTTTTTCAACGAAAATTATATTTCTTTTGAAGCCTTGATTAATGCAAACATTACAAGGTTAAATTAAATGCACTTTTGCATCTCTAATATACTGGTTTTAAAATATCCTGAAGCATAATAATGGAGTTTTTATTAGTGGTTAAGTTGATATGCCATTTTCACATAATCTTGTTTTTCACAAATTTTGCAAATAAATTGCAATAAAATGTGATAGCTTGTTGTGATCTAGTAATTTTAAGTTCCGATTATGTTAAAGTTCTAATCTTTAAAGGTTTAAATGATTGGAACCCTAACCCTAAATTCCATGTTGAACAAAGTTTGGATTTTTCATGTTTGGTTGATTAAAATCCATCAAGTTCAATTACTTGTGAGTAAAATTTGATTAATCTTCATATTGGAATATGTAATCTTGGTATTTTACACAAGTATAAAAGTTGGAAAATTTTTATCATTGGATGGTTAATTTATTTTTCCAACTCCCTTTGTCAAACCCATTATTAATTTGCATATTGGCAAGATTAATTATGGACGTAGCTCATTTTATTTTAAGCAAATAGTTAGACCTAATTTTGTTCAAAATTAAATTTTTTTGGATAATTTAGGCTTGTGCACCAATAAAATAAAAATTATTTAAGTTAGACTTCTTTTATTTTATTTTCCCTCAAATTGATTCTAAAATGTAATTTAGAATTAATTATTTTCACACACAAATCGGAATTAAAATCCCGAGTAAAATGCACGCAAAACGATGCAGAACCGTAAGCGTCACCAAGGCTAGCTGGGCTACCTAGCAGCCCACATGTACGCTACCTATGGTGCGCTCATGGCTAAGCATCAATGTTGTGTGGCTGTGTGGCGAGGGGTGCT